CTCATGTTAGCCTGTTAGGGCTAGTTTTGGGTGTTTTTTATTTTTTTTAAGAATGCTGTCATCCCTCCCTTCTGTTTCTTTTAAACATTGCACTTTTTAAAAAAATCCAAGAAGCGCAAGGTTTAAAAGAAGAAGGAGAGGGGAGGAATGGCAGCGTTCTTTAAAGGAGTATTTATTTACTCTTTTTTTTTTAAAGCGAGGATTAAAGTATTTCAAAGGATGCGGCTTCAAGCCTGGTGATGGCCAGGGTTTAAAGGCATCGATTTAATAAGGGAAAGGGAAGATCAGAGGGTAATGAAAAGGAAATGACATCATCCTTCTCTTTGGTGGTTTAAAAATGCAAATATTGTTTACATTTGTTAAATTAAAATGATTGAGGCCGGCTAAGTCCCCAGACAGAGAGACGGAGCCTTCAGTCTGTTCTTTCTTTTATATAATAAGGGAATTATGAGCGAAGGGGAGCATAGAAGTCTTGTGCCAGCCTGCCAGCCAAGCCCTTTTCAAGATAACTCCTCTCCATTTGCCTTCTACCCTGGTTTCTGTCCCCTCTCAAGGCTGGTGAGCTTTCCAGAATTTTTAGTGCCACCCTTTGGTCTTCGGACCTGCCCGCCACTGGAATTTACCCCCGACAAACTTGCCTGAATTTAGCTCTCAGGATAAAAAAATGGGTTTCCTGTGCCGAACCGTAAATTCTAAGGTCACTTGGAGCTGCTCCGCCATTGGCATCGCAATAAAGTGGCTTCCTTCAAACTCCAGATAGACCACAACTCCCATCATTCCCGGCCTCCAGGGCCAGGTGAATAGGAGGGACTGAGAGGGACCCTGGGGTGCTCCAGAAAACACTTTCTCAGTGGCCAAGAGGAGAGAGGAGCAGTGGAGTTAATTGAACGGCAGCGAGGTGCATTGAAATGCCCAGGGTGATCTTTCGATAGCCGCGGAAAGGGAGGTTTAAAACGTGAAGCATCTGGAAGAAGAATAAATACATGAACAAATAAATAGATAAGTCAACAAATATTGGCCACCCCTCAAAACCCACAGGGAGGCCTGTGAAATTTAACTCGGCCAACCTAGGAAAGCTCAAGAAAATGTGTAAGCTTATGAGACCATGTTTTGGTCCTGGTTTCCAGAACCACCCGACCCCCCTCATATGCCCAGGGTGATCTTTCGATAGCCGCGGACCCCTCTCACCCCAAGCAACATGCTCTTGTGTCTGTGGCAGCTGGGGATGCTGTGTGTTGTAGTCCAGACAGCATAACACGTCTAGCCTTTATTTTTTTTCTTGAAGAATCACCTGTCCTCTTAAAAAAAAAAAAGACACAGAGCACACGGCCTCCTTCCGAGGAGAAGACAGCCCGGGAAGACATTCGACCCTCAGAAGATGTTGCATTCATGGGGAGCCTTGTTTGCTCCTTCAGGCAGAAAATCTGGGCCGTCGTGAAATATATATAAATATATTGTCAGGGAGGCTCTAGCGAAGCTGTTTTCCCCCCATCCCCTGATGAAAGGGATGCAAAACCCTTTTTCTAGGTTAGGTTTTCTGAAAATAGCTACAGCTGCTTCCGGGACTGACATCAGGGAGCGCTAATTCCGATGACTGAAAAGCAACTCCACGCGGAGGGGCCGCGCCGGAGGCCTGCCTTGGTTGTTCCTTTTGAAAAGGTGCCTTCGAAACAGAAGAACGGAGCTTTGTGTAGGCAGGTGGGGCTCCCGAGAGGTGGAACGGGGAAAGTTTGGGGGTGATTCTGAGATGCCAAACCTGACCCAGCCCTCTGGCCCATCTAGACCAGAATGATCAGCAGAGAATCACAAATCTGGCATGGGGATTGGCCTCTGGGTGGTGGAACCTCCAGCCCCTGGGGCAGTCTCCTTTTGAGAACCAGGGAAGCAGAGAATGGACTGAGATGTCCTGTTTGCACCGGCCTAGAAGCTTCCAGGTAGTAGCTAAGAAATGCTGGAGGCTCGACGCTAAGCTATTGACATGGTAGAACAGTATTCAGAGAGGAGGAAGGAAGGGGGGAAATTTCTTATCTTATTTCTCCATTTCTGGTGTAATTCTGAACATCTCCTTCCTGCATCCTCTTACTCACATATTTCTAAAATAAATCTCCATGTCCCTCAGAACATGGCCTTTGCTGGCCGGAGGAAAGGATCTGGGGTTTGTAATTCAACAAGACAAATTTCTATCCAACTTTGACTGAAGGAAGGAAGGAGATAAGGATGGATGGATGGATGGATGGATGGATGGATGGATGGATGGATGGATGGATGGATGGATGGATGGATGGATGGATGGATGGAAGGATGGATGGATGGATGGATGGATGGATGGAAGGAA